ATTATCCAGTGCCAATAGTCCCACAGTAACATCCTATTCCCCTCAAATCCCTCAAGCGACAATGACCAACCAGAAGGTCCCACTTCTGACCGTCATACCGGTCATGTCAGATTGTGGGACCACTCCCACGCATCGTCACTTTCCCAGAGCGTGCATTTCCCCTCATCGCTACACTCGCCACACACGATTCGAACCCAGCTCTCAAATCCCTCAATTAAAAAAAGAAAAAAGAACTCTAACTGGAGTTGTATAATGTAATTTGTGCGTGCAAATAATAATATAATGAAACTCAAATTGAAACTAAAGAGATGAATCATTGATTTGCTATGGTGCGCACCTTACGGCGAGTTCATCGAATCGTTTGTTAGGCTGCCGTTGCCGGAGAACATGAAGGTCACCACCGGGACAGAACTCCGTCAAGAGACAGAGCCACTTAGGCGAGTCGATACTAGCATAGAGTGCCGGAAGAAACGGATGGTCTAAAGACTCCAAAATCTCCCTCTCAGTCCTTGCTCTGCCTTCTTTACTCCGACTCGCCAGTTCCTTCTTATCCATTACCTTCGCCGCGAACAGGCATCCGTCGGCTCCAGTGGACTTGAGGCCAGCGAGGTAGACGGAGCCAATGTCGCCGGAACCGAGGCGGTTGAAGAACTTAAGGTCAGAGAAGGCGAGTTGGCGAGACGACGAGTCGGATCGGATCCGGTTAACGGCAGACCAGCAAGGGTCGGAAGAAGGCGCGTGGGGCTTGTTGAGAATAGAAGGGATGTGTACGGATGAGGAGGAGGCGGTGAGAGTAGTCTCGGAGCCGGAGCTGATGCTGCGGTTGGTGTTGGTGGAATTGAAGCTGAGGCTCTGGAGGTCGTCGGCGATGTCGTCCGGAGAAGACTCCATTGGAGGAGAGGGAAGCAGAAGAAGAAGAAAGGGCGTTTGACGAGCCGAGAGAGGGACAAGCAAGTGATTTTTGAAGGGGAGAAGGGAGGAGGAGTATTGGGCCGGGTAATGGGACGGGTTGGGCCCGGTGGGGGCCCATTTGGAAGGGCCCGATTTGCCTAAATTTTGGGTGCTATGTTTGGACTGCGTCCAGTAGCTACTAGCTATCCCCAATCGTACGTGCCGTGTCTTCGGGGACTATTCGTAAATTACGCTCAAGTTTCCAAAAATAAATAAAATAAAATATATTTTTCTATTTTATTTTGTCTTTTTAAATTTTCTAATACATATAATTGATAAACTAATCATGTAATAAATGGTTGTTTCTATGAAAATTAAAAAATAAATATATTTTTTTAATCTTAAATTTATTTAAGGTTTAAATTTTTATTCAATAATAAACTAAAACAACTTTATATTATATGAATTGAGCATCCTCCCTCACATATTTTATGTAATATTGATAGATAATAATAGATTCCCTACTTCTTTTAAGTAGCACCATATATAAATTTTTAATAATAGAGTTCAATAATTTAATGAAGATATAGTTTTGAGCATTATCTTAGTATGGTCGGAGTTTCATCATGCAACTCTTTCCCGACATGCCACATGGACTCTTTGACCCTTAACAATGCTCGTGCATTTAAGTCAGACCTTTACAAAATAATTAATTTTTACCTCTAAACTTATCTCATGTATTTTTAGAGGGATTATTTAATGGATTGGACCCATGTTATTGGGAGGCGTCATTTATTTATTATATATAGTTTAAAACTGAAAATATTTTAATTACCTAAATATTGCTGAATTTTAATCCATTTTAGTTAAATTTATAGCCATGTTTTTCTACCAAAAAATATTTTTAAAATTAGCAAATATTCTCAAAATTATTTATTTATTTATTATCATTATTTTTTCAGAAAGAAAAACAGTATTTTTCAATATTATTCCCAAACAGCAACTTGAAAATGACAAATTTTTAATTAAAAAAAAAAAAAAGAGAAAATGACAAATTAAAAAATTGTCAAATTTATTGGTGATTTTTATTATTAATGATTAAGAATATTATTATGATTTAATTATTGAATATGTAGTTGATTTTTAATTAATTATTTAGTTAAGGCGGGAAAAATGGGACAGAAATTGAAGTAAAGTGAAAAGGTTTAGGAATGTAAAGTTTTAAGGAAGGGTGTGGAAATATGAATTAAAGTGAGATTTAGACAATCAAAGCATGGGGAGTTAATGATGCCTGAAATGACACCCCATATCACTATTTTCATATTTGGAACAAAAATTGGTTGATTCTTACCATGTCACCAACCACGAATGTTCAACCCCCAATCATGGAAAATACTATTCATTTATTCACTTCCCCCGACACATATATCGATATTCAAATGCTAAATCATAAGTTAGGTCGTATTTTCTCAAAACATTATATTCATCGTCGGTCTTCGTCTCGTTTTAATATTCTACTAAAAATTAGTTAACATAAAAGGAATAGGATGTAGAAGATCGTAACATGAGTGATTCAGTGGATTTGGATTCCTATATATCCACTCATGTGGTACTTCACTCGACGATATATATATATATAAGATCCATATGTATAGATATCATCATTTACATCCAGAAAGCCGATATTGTTAGTATACATGTGTTTAATAAAGGATGTGGAAATCTCTCTTTATTATACGCTTTTTAAAACTCGTGACGATACGTAACGAGCTAAAACAGACAATGTCTACTAGCGATGGACTTGGGCTATTACAAATAGTGTCTGAGCCAGACATTGGATGGTGTGTCAATAAGGACATTGGGTCTCCAAGAAGTGTGGATTGTGAAATTCCACATCAATTAGAGAGGGGGACGAAACGTTTCTTATAAGAATGTGGAAACCTCATAACTGTGAGACCGACGACAATAAGTAACGGACTAAAGCAAACAATATCTACTAATGGTGAAGTTAAACACCGGGTGATAGTGCCAGCAAGTACGCAGGCTCCAAGGAAAGTGGATTGAATCTAACAATCGGTTGAAGAGGGGAACAAAACATTCTTATAAAAGTGTGAAAACCCCTCCCTAATAGACACGTTCTTAAACTGCGAAACTTGACGATAAGTAGCGGACTAAAATATATAATATCTACTAATGGTGAGTTTGGACTATTACATATAATTACAATTTTAAAATTCATCATATTCCGATAAAATTAAATTGATTGAAAAAAAAATTATGGATATATATATTTTTCAAATAACATATTTTCAAACTAAGCATATGGAGTAAAAATATAATTTTACCTAGAAAGATACAGTAGAACAATTTGATTGTATATACCATGTAAACATTTTTGGCTTCAATTAAAATATTTACCAAAGCTTTTAATCTGGTTTAACGATAATTAATGAAGCTTTACTGTGGCGAGTCAAAAGTTTTCATCATTGAATATTATGGTTTATAAAGTCGGCGTGAGAAATGTTTTATAATTATTTAAAGATTATTGATGTCATTACCTAAATACATTCACCCTTAATGTATGTGATAATGATATTAATTTACATTTTTTAAAATAATCTTTAAGCTTTGTTGATATGATTCAACATTGTGTATGTATATATATAAATATGGTTACACATTTTTTAATTCATACAATCATTTCCACTCATCTCACCTATGATTCTACATATATTAAAAATTAGCATCCTTAAACATATTTTTAAATATTTTATTCATTTCTTAAATTTTTAATTCACAAAATATGTCAATTAAAATTAATTCTAAACAATTAATATTTTATATACTTAATTTTTTAAGGATAAAATGCAATTTAAATATACTGAAATTATTTTTTATTCTTTTAAATTCAAATCTTTTACTTTTTACTTTTTAGTCCAAAACATAACGTTAAATATTAAAAGTTTTCTTCTTCAACAATTATTACCTAAAGAATATTGTTATATATATATATATATATATAATACATTCCTAAAAAAATGTTAATACACTTTCACAACAATAAAATCTTTAATTTTTGTGTTCGTTCCTTCAAAAAACTTTGTGAAGATTGTTGCTCGGTAGTAGCTTCTAGCTTTGGAACTACCAAATATGGATTACACGACTAAGTTCTGCGAAAATTGTTTGTTCGATAACAGCAACTTACGGCTTTGCTTGCAAATTCTAACCAACTCTAAAAGGTAAACATGACCAACATGACCAATTTTTTTCAACAAAAGCCTCCCTGTCTAAATCCTGTGCTTGTTGGATGATGTAAGTTCTACATCGGCTAATTTAGGGAATGATCATGAGTTTATAAACAAAGAATACTCTCTCCATTAGTATGAGGCCTTTTGGGGAAGCCCAAAGCAAAACCATGAAAACTTATGTTCAAAGTGGACAATATCATACCATTCGTTGCTCACCTTTTTTTTTGTCTAGATGGAGATGACAGAGCTTTAAATCAAACTAATGTTATATTCTCTAAAAAAAATTAGATGAAGTTAATAATAATAAATAAATAAATAAATATTGATGATAAAGGTAAATTGAGAAAAGAAGGGGCATAGGACATTAAAAGCTATACACGAAACACATGCATATATTAAAGGAGAGAGAAAAGGTATAATAAATTGGGACGCATTGTTTGGAGTGAAGAATTTTGTAATTTACAATTTACACCCTCAATTCAATTGAATTCAATAAAAACACCCTTCCAATCTTTATTTTCTTATTTAAGGACCCCCCCCTTTGTCTTCATTTCCACCTAATTTTGACTTCAAATTTCATGCCCTTTCATTTCCTATTTAAAAAAAAAATATATATATATATATATATATATAAATAAATAAATTTTTAAAAATTTATTTGGACGCCGAACAAGAACCATGATCATTACTTTTGTTGTCACAGAATTTATAATAATATTTATTTAATCGGTATTTATAAAATATATATATACATATATATATATAAATAAGTTGTCATCCAAAAGAATTTAGGATGGGTCCCACGTGTGAAGCAAAAAACCTCACTTCTCTTCGTCTCTTTTCTTCCGCGGTTGAACCTAAACCCGCTGATTCAACCCGCGAGTTCTCTCTCTCTCTCTCTCTCTCTCTAATCCGGTTTCTCTCTCCTCTGCCATTTTTGGAGGTAGGAAAAGAAAGGAGAGTCACAGTCGAGAAGTCGAGTCGAGTTGTAGGCTCTCCTTCATAGCTCCTGTTGGCGTTGGCTTTGGATTTGGCTTTGGCTTTGGCGTGGTCTCTCTCAAATTCCTCGTGATTTCCTTTACCTACTGTTCCTTTCCCCCCCCCCCTCTTTCCTCTTTCGCTTAAACCCTTTCTTTTTTCTTTCACTCTTTTTTTCATCCAATCCTTCGCTCTCTCCGTTTCCATTTTCGAATTCTGTCATCCGCAGCTCCGACTTGGCGGTTTTAGATGCTCCGGTTATCCTGACGTTACGGAAGGGAAGCTCTGCCATTTGGCTGTTTTTGTTTCATTGGTTCGCTGCAAATTTCGGGTAATTATATGGCATTTCCTCGTTCTTTTGGGAGAATCATGGTTTTATTGTGGAAGATAGAATTGCATAAGTTGAGTTGAAATTGTGTGATGTTGTAATTCTGTTGTTCTCGATGTTTATATACATATATGCGATTGATTTGAGTGTGCTAATGAATCCCCTTTTGGTTTTCGTTTTGTGTTTGTTGTCTTTTGAACACGCTTGGGGATGAATGTTATTTCCTTTTGTTCATGACCTTTTTGAGTATCAATTTTGGAAATTTTATGGATAAAGTTCACAATTGATTATCTGCCTGGTGTAGACTCTGAATGTATATCGAAGGATATGATCATTTGTGACACTTCTTTAAGTCGTTAAAGTCATGGTTTCAGTCGAAATAGTAATTGGCGCTGATTTACTTGCTTTGTTGCTTTCTCATAGTGGGTTCTAACATATACGGTAAACTTCCTTGAGCATATGTTTTTAAGACGATTTTTGTTGTCTTGATGCAGCGTGTCTTTGTATTAAATTGGATCTGAGGTGTGATTCCTGCATCAGGATAATCAATGGTTGGCTGACATGAACTGGAATCCTGTCAGAAATTTGATGTTTCATTTCCAAGTTCTTGGGAGAAATTTGGTGGTGGGTTCAACTCAGCAAATGAGTTTGCTTGAAGACAGCTTCAGAGGACATTGGCACAGCGTTTGATATCGACATTGTACCTTATAAATGGGCTTGCAGTCCTAGCCAAAGCCACATCTTTTCTCTCCCTCTCTATTGTTATACCTCAGAAGATGACTACGTTAGCCAGTACTTCTGAAATTGTTGAATCAACAGAAGAAATTGATGCCGAGAAAGCTGGTACGAGTTACATGCTAGATGTTGGAAAAAGGTTTTCTATAGAGGATGACATTAACCATCTGTTTCAGGCAATTGATATCAGAACCTTACGTAAGAGGGCTGGGCAGCAACGTGAAGTTGATAAAGATGCCTTGCGAAAGAGTGCGATGAAAAGACCGGTTAGAGTAGGTTCATCTCACATGGCAGGGATAGGAATTTCTGAACCTGCAAGTTTGAAGCAGGCTTTGAGAGGCTTATGCATATCTCAGGCTGCAGAAATGGCTGCTTCAAAGAGGTTAACAAGGTTGGTAGGTTCACCCAGAATCTCTGAAGCAGGAACTATCAAGAGATTGTATAGGGCTGTGGTGGTTGAGGCCAATGGATCTGGTGTTCCTGTAAATGAAAGCAGAGCAAATTTGGTAGAAATTTCCATTGTTTCAGAAAGAATCATGTCAACTTCTCAAAATAAGATGCCTGAGTCGTTACATAAAACTCAGACAGATATATCAAACCAAGGAGCCGAGTCTTCTTCTTTCAAGGATACTGGGGTATCAGAAGAGGCGAGTGTGGATAGAGTGATGTCGAAGGATCTTGTAGTTAATATGGCTACTGAGGCGACGAGTTTAAAGGCACCTGGTGAAGTGGAAAATCTTAAATCTCCTTCCCTTACTCCTACTGGTGAGAAGGATCTGGCTATTTCCTCAACTGAAGATTTGACAAAAGATTCAGTACCGAAGAAGGAGGAGAGAGGTACAATGCGTTGTTTATCTTCTCTATCAAGCTCGGGATCTGTTGTCAAGCTGAACAAATCAGCTTTCAATAATACACGTTTCATCAAACCTATTTTCAGGTCCAAGAGTTTTGTCAAGAAGAAAGCAAAACTTGAGCCAAATTCCTCCCCTAGCGTTTTCGATGGGTGCACAGAAAAGCTCGACACTGATTTGGGTCCCATAGCAGAAAAATCTGAGAACCAAATGCCAGAAAATGCACAGCATCATGAGAGTAAAGAAGAAGATAAAGGTTATTCTGTCTCTAGTAGCATAACATTAGGTACTGAAGTAAATGGAAATGTAGTAAGCACAGAATCTAGTAGACCTGGTACATCTCTCAACTGCTGTAACAGGAACAGACCAACTATTATGCCATTCGATGAGAGATCCAGATCGAGAGAAAAAGGGATGTTCTCTCAGAGCTCTAAAAGTAGTATTGGCGAATGTAGTAGTAGCCCAAGCATCAGTGGGGAAAGCATTCTTAGTGGATCGAGTCGTAGTGGAGTTAGGCCTCACATGTCAAAGGATTTGAAATGGGAAGCAATCCTCCACCTTCAGGATCAACATAAATTCCTAGGTCTGAGAAATTTCAAGCTGCTAAGGAGACTTGGTCTCGGGGACATTGGGACCGTGTATCTTTCTGAGCTGTGCGGTTCAAGCTGTCTATTTGCTATTAAAGTGATGGACAAGGAGTTCTTGGCAAGCAGGAAAAAAATACTTCGGGCACAAACTGAGAGAGAGATACTGCAAATGCTCGACCATCCATTTCTTCCTACATTATATGCCCATTTTGAGACGGATAAGCACTCATGCTTGGTCATGGACTACTGTCCTGGTGGAGATCTCCATGTGCTGCGACAGAAGCAACCATGCAAGAGTTTCTCTGAGCGTGCAGTCAGGTTAGTTTGTGATGATTTAATTAAGTGCTCCAGTATGATTGCATATTTGTTTTCTTACGCGATGAGTATGTACTTTGGCTGGCAATCTAATCTCATGATTTCTGGTCGATTAATTCGTGCATACGTGAAACTGTTACGTATATAGAGTATTTTCAAGTAGAGAATAAAAATAAGAGACTGGGGTCTGTCTCCATTGGTGGATGGGTGTTTAGATGATTAGATTGGATTAGATTGAAAGCATGTTCTCCTGTTTTTTCTGTCTGATTGTATGGTCAGTTTGAATGATAGATATAGAACATTGCATCTTTTGTTACCGATCAACAAATTTGGTTAGCGTCTTTCTGATCGAATTTGGACTTGCTGAATCGGTTCATTCTCTAGGTTCTATGTTGCCGAAGTTCTTCTTGCCCTGGAGTACTTACATATGCTAGGAGTTGTTTACCGTGACCTGAAACCCGAGAATGTTCTGGTTCGAGAAGATGGGCACATCATGCTCACGGATTTTGATTTGTCTCTTAGATGTTCTTTTAACCCAACGTTGCTTCAATCATCATCTCCAGTTGTGGAATCCACTAAGAGGACTCTGAATCCCTGTGATGAATCTAGTTGCATTGACCCTTTCTGCCTCCATCCATCCTGGCAGGTCTCATGCTTCACTCCCAAAGTTGTATCTGCTCCATACAAATCCCGGAGAACGAAAACAGATCATAACGCTGGTCTATTACCGCAGCTTATTGTCGAACCAACTGGTGCGCGGTCCAATTCATTTGTAGGAACCCACGAATACCTTGCTCCTGAGATTGTCAAGGGTGATAGCCATGGGAGTGCTGTTGATTGGTGGACTTACGGGATTTTCCTGTTTGAGCTTCTATATGGTAAGACTCCCTTCAAAGGTTCAGGAAATGAGGACACATTAGCGAACATAGTATCCCAACCTCTCAAGTTCCCCGATTGCCCTATAGTTAGTTTTCATGCAAGAGACCTGATTAGATGTCTGCTGGCAAAGGAACCCGAAAACCGATTAGGCTCAACAAAAGGGGCTATCGAGATTAAGCAGCATCCATTTTTTGAAGGCCTCAACTGGGCTCTGATACGTTGTGCAGCTCCCCCCGAGCTTCCTAAGTTTTTCGACGGTGGAACTGGTGCAATGCCAATGGATTCTGGGGAGAGTACAAAGCGTAGAGATCTCGAGAATATGGAAGCAGATGCAGCAATCTTTGACCTGTTTTAGCTTATACTTCCTGACCAGGGGACGAAGATGTTTTCGTTTTCGAAGCCCTATCCTTGTCGTATCTTATAATGTAAATGTGTACGTGAAAGGATAACTATATGTTGTAAAGCGTGATACATGAATAGATGAATTTACAGCAGCGTGTCTAAAGGAAAAAACAATGTCTTTTACTTCCCTCCCAAAGGATTGACAACATATGTATGAATTTATCCTCAATAGATTATATACAAATTTATCTAAAGCAGTGCTGAGGGCGTTGCAATTGCAGCTTTGAGTTGAAGCCAATCTCTGCACTGTTTCATCCCTCGAGTCCCTCGCCATTTGCTTGTTTTTCAACCAATAAAATATCGAAGTTCGAGCTAATGGTGTTTCGTCCTCCTCCCCAACCGTTAATGGTGTTTCGTTCTTCTCTCTAACCGATATGGGATCTCACAATTCCCCTCCTCTTTTAGAGCCCAGTATCCTCGCTGACACTTGTTCCTTTCTCCGATCGATGTGGTACTCCCATCAAAATCCACCCCCTTTGGGGTCAGCATCTTTGCTGGCACATTGCCTCATGTCAACTCCCTTTGAGGCTCAGCCTCTTCGCTGGCACATCAATCGGTGTCTGACTCTGATACCATTTGAACCGTCTAAGCTAGCATATATTGTCTTCTTTAGACTTTTCCTTTCAAGGTTACCCTCAAAGTTTTTAAAACCGAATGTTATGGAGAAGTTTATACACCCTTATCGTTCTCCTCTCCAAACGACGTGGGATATCGACACAGACAAAGCCTTTCTACATGCTTTTCGTGTGCTTAGGGAAGTCTGTAGAAGAAGGGTCTCCATTCCAAATTCTTACTCGAACCCGATGAGGTAATTGGTCTATTTTCAATTGGAAATTGCTCAATAGAAGCTCCCTGGTCCATTTTCTTGTCGAAGATACGATTAAAAGGTTTGTTTCGTCTGCAATAGTTTCCTTTTCTGGTTTCTTCCTCGGCAACTTAAAACAATCGCTGTAATTTCTTAGGAGCGATAACTGTTTCTATATGGTTCCAAGTGATTTTGACTACTTTTTCAAGGGCCGACCCAAGAATGAGGGCCAATCCACTAATTTGGTTGCTTCTGGTGAAATTAATGCATCGTGTTAATTTTTAGGTTCTGGGCTTGCTTGAAGATGCCTGTGAATCGCTGTTGGAAAGCATGTTAGCAGAGAACAAACACATTTCAGATTAATGATTTCTGGGTACTTTACTTTTGCAAGCAAGATTTGGATATTGTTCGCTTTGAACTTTCTTTTCTAAACTTCCTCGAGGTTTTAAAATATGTCTGTGAAAGAGAGATTTTCATACCCTTAAATGATTTCGTTTACTTTTTCCTCTCCAATTAATGTGGGATCGCCCGTTACGTATTACTGTCACCTTCATTTCTCTCTCAAACCGATTTGAAATTTTACAGAATAGACATTGATTTCTGGTCCGCTTTTCAGTTCATTCTCTCCTATTTGGCTTCCTAAACGAAGTCTATCTGCCTTAACTTGAGCGAGTTGATTTGGGGATGAATGTGTCAGGGAAGCCTTTACATTTCAAGCCAAATGGTGTGTATCTGCTCTCAGAGTTGCTATGTCAGAGACCACCTGTTGGAATTATGCAAAATCCTTTTTCAGAACCTCAAGAATTGGGGCATTGAATTTGAAATTGGACATCTTTTGAGCAAAAAGGTTCCAAGTTTCTCCACAAAACATGTTATCAGATTATGCCCAGCTTTTAGAAGGCAAAGAACTTTGCTTTTTTGAAAACGTGATTCCCTGTTCTTAAAATTTAGAAAAGTAAAAGCAATGGAGGTAAATGATACTGTTCTTAAAATGAAAGCTGCAATGGCCACACTGCAAACATATAGTACACATACTTTTGTCCCATCGCCCAGCAATATTCTCTTGTTTTACTATGTCCTTTCACCATTTTTTAGCACCCCGATACCACATTGTCTCAAGCATCCCGAAAAGTCATTGTCTCGCTGTGCCTCGAACATTCATCCGAAAGCGCGAGAATCTGTAAGTAGAATGAAGATTCTCATTTAGTACTTTTCGAAATTTTGAGAAGAATTACTCTGGAGCACAGTACGATAAAAGTTGTAGGTTGTAAGCTTTGTTCCGAGAGTCATTTTCTATTACTGATGATGTCGATTATTGGATTCTTGCTTATGGGTTTCTGATTTTTTAGAATTTGAATCTTGCTGAAAAACCAGTCAGGGCGGCCTACAAGCAAGCGAGTTGTATTATTGCTTATGGGTTTGATAATGTTTTTGGTGCTTACCTTTTAAGATTATTTTTAAAATTCAAAACAAATTTTGATAGTATAAAAAAGATGGAAGTATTAATTAAGAAATTGTAAGAAAACAAGTATAACTTTTTAAAAACAAAAAATCAAATAGTTATCTGATGCATACAAAAATGTTTACAAAATTATGTGCATATTTGGAAGCAACAAAATTACTTTTTTTTTTTTTTTTCTTTCCAAAATTTTCCAAAACATAAATAAATAAATAAATAAATATATATATATACACGTTTTTACTTCTAAAATGCTCAATAAATATCTAAACAAACCTAACATAAAATTCTGAATATTTGATATTAAGATTTTATTTTCATGGAAACTTTTTCCATTCTTAACCTAAACCATGTGGGCTGTTTTGATTTAACGAACGAAAGAGGGACCGTAAAAGAAAAGAATTTCAAAATGGAAGACCAAAATGTTGTTCTCTACCCTGTTTTCTTTGCAACCAACAGAACCTACAAAAATCCATAACAAAAAAAAGGGCTCTTTCCAGAAGAGGAAAAGCAAAGAGATGAGGAAAAAAACGCACCACCACAGAGATAATAGACAGGTCGATCTATTTACATGTTTTTAGTTCTACTGAAGTCAGTCATCTAACCTTTTTGTAAAAAATCGAGAATGAACGTCACGCATCATCCATATCATGATCGTTATCATTATCGCCTTCATAATGTTCATCATCACGCTGGATTTGCTTGTCTTGGGTGTGCCCTGAAGAGACAGAATTTAAATTCAATCGACAAAGGCTTAAATAAGATGTAATCAGAGAAGAAAAGAGAAAGTGTTGTTCTAAATTTTGAAGACACTCACGGTTCATGCGCTCATCAGGATTCTGCTCATCTTCGTCAATGTCAGGAATATAGAAGTCGGGAGGAACCTGCATAAGAAAAAAAGTTGCTCTCAATCCCAGTGGCATCTTGCATGCATATGGTTTACGTATCCGAGTGTAAATCTAGTAAAACAACTGATTTATTTATACACATTACTCCTTTTTCCTTCAACATACACTTCCCATCCTTCAACTAATATTATTACAAGCATGTTTGAAAGTGATTTTAAAATGATAAAAATCACTTTTTCTGTGGTTAAAATTCCTCTAAAACATGCCTCTAGTCCTTCAAAATCAATTAAAGATATGTTTTCAAGTAATTTTTAACCACCGAAAAAAAGTGATTTTAGCCATGAACATGCACATATTGGGTCTAACATCTCCCTACCTACTTAATCTCGCACAAGAAACCAAAGAGGCAACATACAACGAATTGAATCAGACATAGGATCCAATTAGGGCGGCCTACAAGCATGTGAGTTGTGCACAGTTCATATGGTAACAACAGATATGGCATCCTTGGAAAAGAGAGATTTTTTTTTATCGCACCGAGTATCAAATATCATTTGTGTGACGGAAAACTCAAAAAATTGGAGGCAAATGAAGTTACCGAACTTAAAAGGCTGTTAACGACAAGCTATTAGTTTCCACCACAAGGATATATCAAACTATCTGTATTTTGATTCAACCAAGCAGCCAATTATGCTCAAAGATAAAAAACAACCTGGTTGACTAGACATGCAACTTTAGCCAGAAACCCACCTCTTGCATTTGTACACCTGGAGCATGTTGGATGAAACGGAGATTTTCCAAGACTTGTGTTTTGATCGTGCTAATGTAAGATTTCGTATTTAAATTTTCCTGCCAGCGAAATCCCAAGAATAAAGGGCTTGAGTGAGGAAAATCCAAGTAATGTTAAACGTTGGTAAGAAAGCAAATAAAAAACATATAACGTAAATTTGGAGAAAATACCAACCATATGCCCATTTGGAATTCTTAGCAAATGATCTGGAGAAAAATATTTGATATACTCGTTATCTGGGATTTCTGCAATAAAGATTAGATTTTCAGCATGCGTCCATGATTCTCAACTCGAGAGAACATGCACAGAAACTTCCACATTATGAATCAGAAATATTTTATAAAAAAAACAGAAAGAGGTTTAAATTGGTTGGGGTAAATATCAGGCACTGGTTAAACAGCAGAGCAGGCAAAATATTCAGTGAAATTAACATGCAAGCTTCAGAGAAAACCTTTCAATTTAGCAAGGCAAAAACTATGCACTACATAGAAATCTAACCAGGAAATAAAGATGGAAGGAAAAATCTAATAGAAACAAGAAGCATTGAAAGGAAAACCAAGAGAAAAGGAATAAAAAAGGCTGGAGGAAAATACTATTTGACTTTTTATACCATTAGGCAGCTCTGTATCCAGAAGAACACCCGTTTCAACAGTCCAACATCTAGCTACATTCTCTTTGGTATAACCTCCACCTCCAGTAACCTTTAGGTACAGAAAGTTCTATGAATATCTCGTTATAATTATATACAATTAAATACAGAATTTTACTCCTCCAAAAAAAGCATACCAATAATGGCAAATTGAATTTCTTGACAAATCTAACACATTCAGCATGACCTGTTGGAAGAATAAAGAACTTAATGTTACTTGCAACACTGCCTCCAAGTTAATTAAAAAGGCGGAAGAAATGGAGTTTTTTTTTTTTTTTTTTTTTTCGCTTTTCCCTGCCAGGGGAGGGAGGGTCCGAAGTCCATTAATTACAATAAAAACATACCATCAATAGAGAGATTGAAGCAGCCTAAGCGATCACCAGCCAATGAATCGGCTCCACACTGGAGAACAATGACACCTGGTCGATACATTTCAACAACCTTGGAGATAATCTATACATACAGAATTCTCAGCCTGGTCAATAGAAATAACAGCGAAGGCATAAAGCTTAATTCCAAAGAGCTTTTATTCAACTTACAGTCCTAAAAAGTCTGGTGAAGCTACCATCATCTATTCCATCCTTCAGTGGAACATTAATGGCATAAAACTTGCCTTCTCTTTCTCCTATTTCCTTCAAAATATTAATATCTATGAGTACCATCGAGCTTCCAAATTTTAGAATCTTAAGAGCAGAATAATATCCTGTTTATCGAGGTTATTAGGATAGAAATTTCTAGTTCCCCTTTCCCTTCTTTTATTTTTTTTTGGGGGGGGGGGNGGGGGGGGGGGGGGGGGGGGGGGGGGTGCTGCTACAGAAATGTAAGATCAACACGCGTAGGTGGTAAAATATAAAGAAGAAAATGCCACACCAGCATGAAATTAAATATTATAAGCCAAATTGACAACAGATCCATCGGGAGGAAGGGGAGGCATTGGTGTCGGCATCAGACCATGTAAAACACCCCTTTGTTTCTCTCCAACTAAAGAAATTCCTTGCCGCAACAATCTACCTCCCTCGTGAATGGGAGGAGGATGCACTTGCAACAAGTATACTAACATCACTTAGGAAAAGAAGCCAAAGAAACTCCAAACCACCGAAAATACTTGAATGAAGTCCTCCTGACAAAAAGGCGAGGCCATGAAATGTGGTTGTGCTCAAAATGCACTACTGTCGATAGAGGGTCAAACAGGAAGACCTTGATCTTTTTTCTTTTGTAATGAGCAGTCAGGCTTTCATGGAAAAAAATGAAAAAAAAAAAAAAAATTGTTCAAGGGCATAAAAACATTGAAAAAATCTCAACATTACCTAACTCCAAACTAAAAGAATGAGACCAAGTTGGTAATCACAAAAGGTCTCATTAATTGAGGCCCATAAAGAGGCATTACACCCCAGCAACCTCCCAAACCTCCTCCGAGGATCTCTCAGCCCTTTCAATAATCCTACTAATCCTCTCCAGCCAAACTCCCCTAAGGGCAAAAAAAAAAAAAAAAAAAAAAAAAAAAAAAAAA